TTAAGCGGGGAGCACACACTTCTGCACAACGCATAATGCGTAAGCATAAGAAAATTGATTGGTCTATTTCCTTATGCACATGTGTATGAACCGTTTATTAAGCGGGGAGCACACACTTCTGCACAACGCATAATGCGTAAGCATAAGAAAATTGATTGGTCTATTTCCTTATGCACATGTGTATGAACCAATCAATTTTCTTATGCTTACGCATTATGCGTTATGCAGAAGTGTGTGCTCTCCGCTTTAAGGTAAAAGCACATAAAATTGCAGGAACCATGAGCAGAATGCAGAAGCCATATACGCATGCGCTATGGTATCTGAAGAGCTCTAACAGATACCATCGCGCATGCGCATATGGCTTCTGCATTCTGCTCATGGCTCCTGCAATTTTATGTGCTTCCACCTTAAAATTGCAGGAGCCATGATCACGAATGCAGAAGTCATATGCGCATGCGCTATGGTGTCTGCATACTGCCCATGGCTTCTGAATTTTCAATCTACATAAAAATACATAAGCATAGTTTATGTAGATTGAAAATTCAGAAGACACAGCCATGGGCAGAATACAGGCAGATACCATAGCGCATGCGCATATGGCTTCTGCATTCTGCTCATGGCTCCTGCAATTTTATGTGCTTCCACCTTTATGTTCTACGAAAAGTGTGTGCCCTGCCTTATGGCTTTTTCACATAGGACGCGGAAACGCTTGCCGCGCGGTAAGAAGCGACGCGGCAGCCAATCAGTTGTTTTTCCGTAAGAACCAAAAGTTTATTGGCTACCACGTCGCTTCATAACACTTATGGCTGCGTTCGGGAAGACGCTGTTAGCGCTGACAACGTCATTGGCCGCGTTCAGGAAACACAACTGTTGAGTGAGCGCTCATTATGATTGGTTCTTACACTTAGATCCGGAGTAGAACCAAAGGTAAGAACCAATCACATTAAAGAATCACTGACCGCTCACTCAACAGTTGTGTTTCCTGAATGCAGCCATTCTGTCTCTGTTACTTACTGAAAGTTGAACAAGGACAGAGCACGCTCATAGCGCTAAAAGCGCGCTCCCCGAACCCAGCCTATAGAGATCAATGTTGAATACCGACCTATGAATACGGGCCTTTCTCTTCCCACTATTCTATTTAGTTTGAAGATGATTCTTTAGAGGGCAGGCTGAGAGACTTTTTTTCTTCAACACACATGGTACATACTTCTGGGACGAACACATTATCGAAGAATCTAGGAAATGTTATTTGTCGACAATTGCACTTGTATAATGTAATTTGCTCGCGTTTAATTCCGACAGATTTCTTTCTAGCTTTCAAGTCCTTCAAAGGGCGTATCGTCCCATATTATCTGAATCGCTGTCTGCGAGAATTGCTGATTAATCATTCTATGATCGATACTTCGCTAATAGCGCATAAATAAAAATGGTAAGCAAAGTTTTTTGTCCATCATTATATGTCTATCTCTAAAAATCAACTTTATTATACAATTATGTGTGTTCGTAACATTAACATTGTAACAAATTTTCTTGCATCTGTATTTATAGTACATTGTGGATATATGACAATAATGGGATTCAACCTATACTGTACTTTCAAATTGTTCGAAATTATAAAATTTCTATATTTATAAATAGATTATTAGTAGTTTGTTATTGAAAGACGAACGAGATACATAAATATGGATACATAAATTTCGATAAACTTAAGAAAAATGTTGAAAATATGATTTCATAGTAATGTTACTAATCACGAATGTTTCTATAGTCCGTTATTTTTACTATTCTGAACAGAATACTGAACAGAAACTCAAGAGAATAATATGTCTAGTTTGAAATCAATGATCTTGATTTTTACTTAAATTTAAATAAGAAAAATAAGTTATCTAATTATTTGATATACATATAATTGAATAATTGAAAAAGGAAAACTTGTATATTATATATTATATTGCTTGTATGTTATATATTGTATATTGATAGTGATAATATCTCATAAATAAGATAAAATTTACCTTTCTTGTATATAATGGCAAATCATATTATTCTAGAGATTTATCGATTAACTTTATATTATAATTAGTGATAATATAGGCAAATCTATAAGTGTAGAAAGAAACTATAGCTATTTATAATATTGACTGTAATGAATTTCAATTGGTATTTTTGTAGCATTAAAAAACTTGGAGTTTTTCTGCTTCCTTATTAATTTTTTATTAAGAGACATGGTATATAAGTATAACATGACAATAAAGACATAAGTTTAATCGATTAATATTTATAATTCATGATCAATAGTGTATATTAAGTTTATATTATTATTAACTTTTATTTTATTTGATTTTAGTCTCATACAATACTACTAGTACAACCTGGTGACAGACCTGAAACAAGAACATATTCTGATTATGAAAGCATTAATGAATGCATGGAAGGTAATGTTACACTATAATTTATAATAATATTACATTATAAATTTAAGTTATAAACTTTAATAAAAGATATTAATTCTTTAATTATGCATGATACATATAATTATATATTTTGAATAAAAACATCAATTGCATATATTAAACAGCATACAGTGAATTCATTCTATACTATAAGCATTAAAAATAGAAAAAATATATTACGACAGAATGCAGTTCGTCTTTTATGTATTATATGATCTACTAGCTTGATATCCTTGGTTTGCTACAGTATGTGAAGGATTCTATAATTTACTCCCGATTCTAGATTTGCCCCTTTAGGTTGTCCTAAGGTCGATTAGGGCAAAATCCTAAATTGTGTTTTTAAGCATTTGTATGGGTAACCTTTGTAACCAAAAACCAAGTCAAATCTCATCAGGCCTAAGAGATATTGAGGAATCCGTGAACACATTTTACTCTTTTTCATCCTATTAGGAATCAAATTTCTAAAAATCTTAGTGGGTATTTACGTCATACTCTTTAAATTTCATGTTTCTAGGTTTAAGGGTTTGGGTTGGACATTGATGAGTCAGTCAGTCAGTCAGGACATTTGTTTTTATAGATAATGGATACTTTATTACCCCAAGGGGTCTAAAAGGGCGTTTTGTAGGGATGTACCCAACCCTGTACAGTTTCAGACATTTGTTTTTATGTATATAGATGATTATGAATCAAAATGTATTTTATACATACATATGTATTTTCATAATATTTTTACATACTTTAATTATTTGTTTACTATTACAGGTGTTTGTAAAATTTATGAAGAACATCTGAAGAGACGAAATCCAAACACTCCAACTATCACTTATGACATTAGTCAATTATTTGATTTCGTTGATCAGTTAACGGATTTATCCTGTCTTGTGTATCAAAAATCAACAAATACCTATGCTCCCTATAATAAGGATTGGATCAAGGAAAAGATATATGTACTACTGCGTAGAGCTGCAGGACATGGAGAATAATCAGTATATAAAGTACATGTATACGTGTGTGTTTAATATAATTTCATATAAGATAATTTTAAACATCTATATATTATTTGTTGTAATAAATCTATAATTTACGATATCTTATTATATTTTGATATAGTAATTACGTTTTATACCTTCCTCTTTACGTAAAGTATATCATTCAAGCAGGGTTGCAAAATTGGTAATTAAAACATTTATAAATCAAATCAATTTTAAATTATTAATTACACTAAGCTTTAATTCACAAATCCATTTCGATTTGTGAATTACAAAGGCTTTAATTTATAATTAAAATTTGATTCGTGAATTACACAGGCTTAATTCATAATTTTTTTGCGATTTAAAGCTGGTATAATTAACAAAATTAATTTTAATTTGTGAATTGCACTGGCTTTAATTCATATTTGATATTTTTTATTTTTTATTGTAATTGTTTGGGCAAATTTAGGAATATATTCTCATAGTTTAGGAAATACTTGTTTATTTATAATTAAGAAAAGTTAATTGAGCGTATAGTTAGCAGACAATTTTGAAAACATATTTTTCTTTTTAATCAATGTGAAATAATTTGGGAAACACGTCTGTAATATTTTCAACGTTTGGGAAATAATTATTTCGTCTAAAAATCGAGTTCCATGTGCGTTTTCTGGGGGTCGATTGTATCTTGGATTGAGGTGAAAATTACAAAAGTGAGGAAATTCACTACAATATCTACGATTTCATTTTTCGAAATCTAATAAATCTGTTCACTTTTGTAATTTTCACTTTGTTTCAAGATACACAATCGATTCTCCGAACAGTGTGACGTAAAAGTACGCGAAATTTAAAATATATACTGTGCTATTTAACGAAAACCTATTTGGAATTGTACTAGCTTGGATCTTGTTTCGCCTTGCTACACATGGGGGTGTGGGGTGGACCTTGCTTCATGTGTTGAGTTGAAACTTATTTAGAATTGTACTAGCTTGGCCTTGTCTTGATCTCCGTGAAACCAGCTGTCGTACACGGTTGAAAGATTTGACCTCTATAAGCTAGACAGAAATTACTAAATTTGATAATTTTTAATTTTTCTAATAAGTGTATTTCGTTTGTAAATCGTTTGTGATTGATTGTCAGTTTTTAACGCTTGTGACCAATTAGTTGTTTGTAATTAACAATTTTATCTTGGCCATGATGTCAGCCAACACTTTTTAGTAACAAATAGATTTAAAATTATATAAACAAAATAAATATGTATAAATATATATAATATTGTAAAAGTAGGATAGATAGATTTATTTAATTTCAGCTATACAAAGCCATGAAATGGACTTGGTTTACAGTATATCTTAAACACACTCATACCAACTTTTTTAACTTAACGCGTGACACTGTTAATTCCTTATTCCGTACTTTTTAATTTCTTCTAGAAAAACCATCTTTTAAACCCAACACGCCTAAACCTATTATTTACACGTTAAACTCACAATCTAAACTCAGAAATACTTGACTTATTGTTAGTCCGCTTCGGCAGTATCAAGCCAAGAAATGGACATTATTCACCTATACACACACA